GTGATGGGGTGGATAAGTGGATTTTAAGTTGGGTGGGTCCCACGCCACCTCACGCGACTTAAAACTCGTCTGAACTGTCACTAAACGTCCTAAAATTCAAAACCTATTTAGAAATTCTAATTTTTAATATTAACTATTCTTCTGTAATTATGCTTGATCAGATGAATTCAGAGTCCGTCATTCGTTCGGAGAAAACACTGTTTTAAGCTATTGCGCGCGCCGTTGGCACGCTTCCCCAAAATGACTTACTTTAATCAGATTTTATCAACAATCATATTTCCTAACTTAATAGACAATTTATAACTCAAATTTGAAACCTAGAGCTCAAAACTCAACTGGCACGTTTTACGGTACAATCGTACCGCGGTATTTTTTACCCGCGAAAAGCACTATTCACTGCTTTTTCTGAAACTTGCCTATCCACTCAATTTTTCGTTCTGAATCCATTTCCAGGGTTATTTTTACCATCTGAAATCTTTTACTCAATTTTTATCTTCCTAGGGTTGCGTGTTGGCTAATTACCGTTTTGCCCTTTCTTTGTATTTTGGCCTAATCTTTAGGATTTTCACTGAATCTCCACTTAATTACACACTTAATGGTTTAAACACTCAATTTAAAATTGTGAGGTGTTATAATTTTCGAACCTTAGTCTTTTAATTCTTTTACCAAATTGGGTCTCAATCATTTTATAAAATTGAAATAATATCTGTGGTACCTCAGACTTCTCATGCATTAAGTAAATCAAGTTTAAACGAGTATAATTATCAATAAAAGAAATAAACCATTTATTACAAAAAATACTAGGAACTTTAGAAGGACCCCAAATATTAGAATTAATAAGATCAAAAGGTTCAACACTTTTAATGGTACTAGAAGAAAAATATACTCGATGTTGTTTAGCAAACTCATAAATATCACAACGAAAAGACTCAACAGACTTAGACAAAAATAATAATGAAAATAAAGACTTAAGCAAACTATATGGAGGATGCCCCAAACATTTATGATGAAGCCAAATCAAAGAGTCAACAGTAAACTAGAAATGAGTCAATAAAGTAGGATCCTTAACAAACTATGCAGAAGATTCTAGCACCAGATAGTATAACCCACCCTGCTCCTTAGCACCCATAATTGTCTCCCCAATGCCTAGATCCTGAAAAACATAGTGAGTAGGAAAGAAGGTTATAATGCAATTCAAATCGTTGGTAATTTTATGGATAGAAAGAAGATTAGTAGAGAGTTTGGCAACTTGAAGAGCATTTTGGAGATGAAAGGAAGGCTTTAAGTATATGTTACAAGAACCCGTAATTGATGTATGTGAGTCATCAACTACGACTATTGGATTGGGGCCAACATTAAGGTTATAAGAAAGAAAGGAGTCAGCACAATAAGTCATATGATCAGTAGTACCAGAATCAATAATCCAAGAATGTTTAAAATCTGTACAAGAACCAAGAAAAGAATAAGTAATGGAGATCGTACCAATCATAGCCTAAGTATTAGTACCAAATGGCTTACTCAGATAATCAAGCATAGTTTGAATTCACTCCAATTCTTCTCGGCTAATAGAAGTAAATTTTGAAGATGCAGGTTAGACCTCATTAGGTGTAGCAACCACATAAGATGTAACCAAATGAGCTCGACCATGCATCCTTGCCATCTTTTCCAAAACATTTTGCTTCTCATGGAGGCGAAAGCATATATCCTTGATATGACTTCCCTTTCTATAATAGGAACACCAACGATCATCTTTCTTGGATTTAGAAGATGCACCATTAGCAAATTTGGCCAAGGAACCCCCTTGAGAAGAGCCAATTTTTTTGTTGAGATCATAACAGACCCATCAATAGGTTTAGAAACAGAAACAGCCTCAGAGGATGATAGCATGACATATCTATCTGATGTGTTATAGTGCATCATAACTCCCTGACGAGTCTCCTTACCCTGAACAGTATTAAAAACAGTAGAGAAGAATGATAATGTGTCTTTGCCAAGTATCTAAACTCGAAAAGGATCATATTCAAAATTCAATCCAGCAAGAAAATAAAAAATACGCTCATTTTCTACCTCCTTGGCTAAGGCAGTAGCATCCACAGAACATTGCATCTTCAAACTTTGAAATTGGTCGAACTCAGTCTATAACTCCTTCATAAAACCATAATATGTTGTCACAAATAAGGAGCCTTGTTTAGTAAGGGGAAAAATATTGCATAATTCATAGCGTGCGCCTGTATCTTGTTTCAAAGAATAGATTGAGCTTACAGTTTCCCAAATCTCCCTAGAAGAAGACAAAAACATACAGTGATGACCCACTTCAAGAGTCCTTTGTCATGACCAACTTTTGAGTTCCATAACCAAGTCATGATAAAGGAATCCTCATTATCTCAGACAACAAACTTAGGATTAGTGGTGGCAAGAGTAGGGCCATCAAAAAGAGCAATCTTATTGCGACTCTTGATGGTAGTGCGAATAAGTTGAGACCATGACAAGTAATTTGACCCATTAAGCCGATAACTCTGATATAGAGTAGGAAGATCATTGTGACCAAGTGAGGTATCAATAACTGTGTAACAATCAAACTACCATCGAAATCCGCCATAATGCTGATGTAAAAGCAACCTCAAAGGAACAAATTAGTCTAAAAAAGAATACGAATAAGTGATGAAAAATTACCCTAAAGGTATCCGGGTGGACTTCTACAGCCTTTATTGATACCTGTGGGGGTCTTTGAGGATCTCTCTCTTGATTTCATCATGGGATTGCCAATGTCTCAAGTATTTTCTATGATTCTTGTGGTAATTGATAGGCTAACAAAGTATAGCCATTTCGGTGCTCTGCCAAGAAATTATACAACAGTTTCAATTGCTCATTTGTTTTGTGATAGTCAAATTGCACGACTTTCCTCATTCCTTAATATCTGACTGTTATAGTGTTTTTCTTAGCCAATTTTGGACAACATTGTTCAAGTTAAGTGGTACTAAGTTGAAACCAAGCTCTACCTACCACCCACAAACTGACAGTCAAACAAAGGTCACCAACCGCTACTTGGAGCCATATCTTCATGCATTTTGTCATAACCATAATCAAAAATGGTTCTCCTTTTTTAGGGTGGCCAGAGCTACACTACAACGCAACTTACAATAGTTTTATTGGGATGACTCAATTTCAGGCCCTTTATGGCAAGCTTCCCATAGCAATTCCCTCTTATATTCGTGGGTTTGTACCTATTGAGGCAGTGGACACCTTGTTGAGTGAATGAGATAATGTTTTGTTTAACTTGAAGAAGCATCTTAGCAATGCACAAAATAGGATAAAGGTGCAGGCTGATCGACATCGTCGTGATATAGCCTTGAAGGAGGGTGATTTGTTGCTTGTAAAACTCCAGCTATACCGCTAGATCACTGCTGCTAAACGTGGAAATCATAACCTTGCCAAAAGGTACTTTGAACCATACCCAATTCGTAAGGTTCTTAGTTTTGTGGCTTATCAGTTGGAGTTGCCATCAGGGTGTCATATTCATTGTACTTTCCATATTTCAGTTTTAAAGCCCTTTTGAGAAGAACCAAACATTGCAACTTCGTTACTAGATGTGTCACATGAAAACCACCTTGTCCAAATACCTCTAGTAGCGTTGGACTCATGTGTGGTAAGGGCAGAGACATCGACAATGGCTTATTCAGTGATCTCTTTCCCTTCTAGAAGATGCTTCATGGGAGTATGAGGAAGATTTGGAGACCCACTATCCAAATTTGAACCTTGGGAACAAGGTTACTTTCGAAGGTAAGGCAAATGCTACAATATGTAAATCAAAAAAGGGAACTAGAGAACCTATGTGGAGCAAAGATTATTTGATGCATGTGTAGTTGAAGTCATGCGTGTGTAAAAGATAATAGTGTAGTTGTATTATAAACAATAATAGGGTAACTATAATGTGAAGGTAGTATAACTGTGGAGTTAAGTGTGTAAGTCAGTTAGGACGTTAACGTGACTTTCGAAATTAGTAGTTGTACTGTTATTTGATAGGAAATACATATATCTTCTATTAATACAAAAAAAATACAAAAAATAGAAGACTGATTGTGCTCATGATACTAACGATATTGTTCACACTTTTAACAAATAAAGTTAAAAAAAAAATTCCATTCATCCAAGCCTTGGTTATACAGATTTTTTTTTAGGATACAATTGAGAATTGAACATGTAATTTAATATAAATTATCCTTATCCCTTCTTATTAGACCAAACCTAGTGATTTATATAGAAATTATTTCAACAGAATAAATGTGCAAGTTCACCTTGTGTTATGCCTGCATGAAAAAGAAAAATAATAAATGAGCCACTGTGCCAAGCCGATAAAAGTAAACCGAAAAATCGTAAAGTAATTTCAAAACCATATATAGGAAAATTCGTGTATAAAATGAGACCAATTTGGTCACTTACCCTGGAATTTCTCTTTCATTTGCCGGCATAATCACTGTGTTCAGATGTTGTCGCTTTGAGCTGTCACCCTATCTATGAAATATGTGTCCCATTACTTGATTTTACAAACGTTGTTTAGGTACATCGTCCCTCCATATTGTCTCCATATCCACTATTAATATTCCTTGCAGAAGTAACACATTTAATCCACCAGCTATCTCTCATAAATAAAATGTTATCTTTGAACAATCATCCAATATGAATTGAATTTTGTATACCATTTTGACATGTTCCTTACTGCTAATATCCTTAAAAGAAATCTCAATTTCTTCCTTTTTGTTATTTCTAGCAAAAACAATTATTTTTTATTTTTTAGATAGATACATTTGTCCATCATATTGTTTAACTTTTATGTATTGCTCTGTACGAGGTAGCCTATCTCTTAACGTATACAAGGTGAGTTATACAACGGATAAGGATTAAAAGTTTCACTTTGGAATTGCTGTGAGCTAATCCCATAAATGGAATTGCTGTGAGCTATAATTAAAACTCAAAATACTCAATTTTCTTTATTCTTGGGGGAATTATATATGCAATCTTTCACATTACATATAATTGAACAACATTTAGGTTCAATTTTATCAACAATAAAACCACAAAATATAAGATTTTATCTAATTAAACACCATAACCTTAGATTAAATAGCACTCAGGAATAACATCAGAATTCATAATCGAAGAATAAAATGTCTATCCCTTCAAGAAGCATAGTAGTACTTCCAAATTAAATTCCATCAATGCAACATTTTTTTTTCTTTCTGCCCCCATTTTATTATTTCACACACTCTAGCAATTTCATACCTCCATAAGAAACTCCTTATCTTGTTCCAACCTCCCCATAGCTTCAGGCTCCAAGGTTAACTCCACATCAATGCTCCTTCCTCCACTCGTCCCTGGATACAAATAAATCATACCATCAAACTTGTTATTAGTTCCACTCCTCACTATCTCTGGCTTCCCCCATCCAAAATCAATGTCATAAACCTTAAACCTTGGTGAACTTCCCACTGCCACACAATTCACCCCTGCATCTTTGAATTGGAAAATCTTAGGTGCACTCTCCCACTCTTTGTTACGTTCATCAATGGCTTTAGCATTGTGGGCTTCAATGGCCTTCTGGATCAAGGAAGCCCCGAATTGCGGCGGATGGGCCGACAAAAGCCCGGCTGCTGTAACGGTGAACACAGCCTGGATTAGGTTTCCGAAGTAAGTCTCCGGCATCGGCGGATCGACCCTTTTCCGACAATCAGCAAAAACGGTGAACACAGTGTAGTCCTCAGGTTTTAGTTCACGTGCATGGGTTACATGGCGCCAAACATGAGTGGAAAGAGCTTGAAATGTTGAGAATGGTTTTGAACCGTCAGATGAAGGGTTTTCGTTGACCGTTGACTTGATCTTGTCGATGGCTGACTCAGAGAACTTGAAGATCTTTTCCCTGAGTACGGGCTTGGGCCCAGACTCCGGCTTTACCTCACCGTTGGAGGTAGCAGGTTGGCCTTTGGGCTCGGGTGGAGACAGATCAAGCTTAACTCGTGTATTCCGGGCCTTGGTGCGGTCAAGGAAGGGTATGGCTGACGTAGTTGGTGAACCGCTACAGATCTCAGCCCATGAGCTCATGAAATGCCACGTGGAAGTACCATCAAGCACAGCATGGTTGAACGCAAGGCCCATTGCAAGCCCGTCTTTGAGCTTAGTTAACTGTTGGCAAGATCAAAGATTGCGAGAATCCATGAAAATGAAAAATAAAAATAATTACAGAAATAAAGAAAAATAAAGAGAGAGAAAAAAGGACAAAAGAGAGTGAGTGAATGTGATATGTGATAGGTGGGGGAGACCAGAATGTGATAGTACTACCAACAACTTTTTTCAGCAATTTAACACCCTCGTATGTGAATTAAATTGACAACCTACTACACTTGTGTCTTTATAACAGAATCTTAAATGATGATCTATGTAAAATTATTTATATTTCTTGAGAAATTAAATTATTTTTTTACTTAAAAGGGAATTATAATGACCTTGCCTCTAATTTTAGAAATTAAAGTTACTAATATTTTCTATAATTGAACAAATTGTTTTCTATTTGCATTAAAATCTTCTAAATTTGACTTGACAGTTGAGGTATAGATTTTAAACTAGGATTTCAGAGGAAAAATTAAATGAACTTATATCTCGTAACAAAAAGTATCAATAGCGTACTTAGTAGGGAGGCAATATGACATGCAAAGTTTTCATAAACTCACTTTCATTTATTATTAATTTTTTTCATTTGAGCTACACTCAAATGAACACAGACATAGTTTGAGTTTAATCTCAATCTACAGTTACAATGTAAAGATTTTATACTATCGTGAAACCATATATTGTTATATTATTCAGAGAGTTTAATTTTTTAAATGTTATAATTAAACTCATTTAGTAATTTGTCAATTAAATTAGGTGTTTATAATATTTAATCCTTAATGATAAAATATGCATTCATCGTTGACAAAATGCACAGATATATTTGGAAATAGTGATGTGATGTTCATCTCATTATATGTGCTGGTGGGGCTAAGTTCCTCTGGATCTGTTAAGACGTGGACAAAGACACCCAATGCCATGGATCTGATCCTTTATTAATATTTTTCAAAAATTCAATACAGTTAGATGATTTGCCCCATTTAATAACCTTCTTTTCTTGGCAAATAGGAGAAAATTACAAAAAACAGGGCTAAGGAAAACAGAACAAACCACTAGTAAGTATTTTTATTTTATTTTTTAAGTTGTGGAAATTGAGGTGCATTTTGAGGCCATCCAAAACCCCTTTTAAATTAGATCTGATACTTCCCTTCTACTTTCAGTTTTCTCAAACACCCACCCATTTCATGATTTACTATTTTAATTTATCTTTATGCATTCTTGTTAACATAAGGACAAGTAGAAGTTAAATATTGTTGACACTTTAGGCTATGACTTGCACAATATATATGAGGCTAATGAAGACCATAAACTAAATTAACATACATTAACTTTCAAGGAAACTGAATTACCTGAATTGCCAGCAAGGGTCTGTGCATGCCTTCCAAATTCAAGATATCATTGTAAGGTATAAGCTCCTTCAAAATGCTGGTACTTTCAGCCACAGTTAGATCTGCTACACCAATCTCATCAGCAACTGCTTCAGTGACCTCAACACCAAGCATGTCATCATCATATTCCACTCTAAACACACCCTCTTCATCTTTCCCTAACTTACCAGCTAGTTGATGGAACTCCTTCAGAACTACACAAAGCCCATCTTTCAGTTTCTTAACCATACCCTCAAAATCACCATCCCCTTTGTAAAAAAGTAGCTTCTGGTTATAGTAGAAAGCTAGATAGGGAAGATCAAAAGTGACCAATTGACACTCTTTCCTCCCAATTTCCTCTTGGGGTTTCACATGACTCTTGCCAGTGATTCTCACATTCAGATTCACCACCTCGGAAGCCATTTTGGTTGAAGAAAATGTTGTTGAAAGAAAAAAACTTAATTGATTTGATGTGAATGAGTTTAGATGACTCTTATAGACAAAAATGTTGTTGGGTAGCATTTATGGAATTCATGGGAGCAGTTGTGGCCAATTAATAACCTTTACCGTGTTAGTTTGGTAGGAGGTGATTATAGATGCGGAAATGTTTGCCCTGAAAAATCCCCACTCACTATATTTGGTTGCTGATGAATTAAATTTGCAAAAGGTTATACTTACTATCATCTATCAAGCTTTGTAAATTATGGTCTATAAAAGATTTATGGCTTGGTCTGTATTAGATCTCGCCTAGCTTAGTATGTTTTGGTTTAGGCCTAAAAAGAACTTATTTAAAATATAGGTTATACGTTTGATGTTAAAAGTCCTGGCTTATAAGCTTTTATATATTATATTGATTATTTTTAATAAACTGAAATAATTTTAATTAATCAAATAATATTATTTTACTTTATTTTTTATTTTTTGAAATGTCTAAAAGATTTAATATATTTAAATAGATTAAGAGAACAAACCAGAACTTTTATTTTTAAAAAATGGGCTAGACTATTTATCGAAGAAAAATAAAATTGGGCTTATCATCTAACTTACAACGGGTTAATGAAATAGACGAAATTCAAAATATTCTATATATGCCAAAACATACCCTATTTACCCCCATATTTATAAATCTTTAGTATATGAATATCAAAAGTTAAATATATCGATATTATTTTTTTAATCCAATTTTCTTTTCCAATGACACATTTTCCGAACTGGTCGTATTTATTATTAGAGTAAATAAATTGCCTAGAAAATTGGGTAGATGTACTAACACTTCAACTGTACCTTGAAAAACTGCGTGAAATCTCACTTAACAAAATTCTTAGCGTGAGGTAGTTCGTTACAATAGTTGTGTTTGAATTATTATTCGCTCTAAAATCCGGCCGGATCGATTTGGAACCTGATGAATCGATTATCAAATCAATTTAGGATAAATATTGGACTGGTTATGCATCGATTTGATCAAACTCGGTCAAAATCCGGCCAAATCCGACGACCTGGTCTGGTCATGCATTTAAAAAAAAAAAAAAAAAAACAAAACTGTTTCATCTTATAAAAAAAAATGTAAAACTCAATTTAAAATTTTTTTGTAATTTTATTTGGTAGTATACTCTTTTTTTTTTTTGGTAATCGGTAGTATACTCTTCTTATTTTTCAATACTGAAGCGATTTGTGAAATAATAAATTAGAGAATGTGACATATGTCATTTTAATATAGTTGAATTTAAAAATATGAGTTCAATGTCATTGAGAGGTATGTTTATGGACATTTTGAGTTGCAATTTAAATTAACATAGTAATACCATGCACTTTTATTTATTTATGCTTAATGTTTTTGAGCTTATTTAGTGAACCTTGTTTAATTAATTTTAGATATGGAGAATATAATTGAATTTATATGTTCATATTTATATATATTTTTATATATCTATATATATATTCGGGTCAATCAGTCCGACCAATGACCCAGTAACCCAGTACCTCGACCGGATCGATGCCCGGATCGAATTTAACAACACTGATCATTCGATATATGAATTTGATGTTCTCTTGCAAACAAAAAATAACTTTACCTCTATTACAAGTGTAGATTTTATCTTTTTTTCCTTCTCTCTTCTCTTTTGTAGAACTCATTTATTTGTATGTATTGAAAAAATATTAACCCCTTAGTGTGGGTGTGTCTATATATATATGGCAAAATGATTTGTAATGTGACTGCATATAAACATTAATGCAGTCACCTAAAAACTACGTCGTTTTGAGTGGATAAAGGAAGTTCGCGTTCAAAATTAATTGTACAAAATGAAAATATTATATTTATTTCTATATTAGTATGGTTATGATTCTCCATATTTAATGTTTTATATTTATTTTCATGTTTGTATGGTTATAATTCCCCATACTTAATGCTTTCACACTATAAAACGACGTAGTTTTGTATGACTGCACCAATCCTTAGGTGCAGTCACTGTACATCCGCTAAACCCTATATATATATATATATATATATATATATATATATATATATATATATATATATATAGGATCATCTTACACCGGTGTAACAATAATAAGTCTTATACCAAATCTTAACAATTGATTTTCTGCATCTAATGGTTAAGATTTATTAGGTCTCACTCATTAATTAATTTTTAATTCCCAATAAATCTCAGTCATTAGATACACGAAAATCAACAGTTAAGATTTGGTGTAAGATTTATTATTCTTACGCCGGTGTAAGTTGATCTTATCCCATATATATAGGGGTTATATTTCTGCAGCTGCTGTACGTGCAGCAATAAAATACTTGTCATATACATATTTGAAAGCATTAAATGCGAGGAATCATAATCATACAAAGGATGAAAGCATTAAATGTGGGGAATCATAATCATACATTTGTCGTGAAGAATCATAACCATACACCTGTCGTTGCTGTACGTAAAGCGGCTGCAGAAATGATTTTACTATATATATAGGGGTTTACATTTCTGCAGCTGTTGTACATGCAGCAATCAAATACTTGCCATATATATATTTGAAAGCATTAAATGCGGGGAATCATAACCATACAAAGGATGAAAGCATTAAATGTGGGGAATCATAATCATACACCTGTCGTTGATGTACGTAAAGCGGCTACATATATATATATATATATATATATATATATATATATATATATATATATATATATATATATATATGACGTTAATGCCATATATATATTTCTACATACAAAGGATAAAAGCATTATATATATATATATATATATATATATATATATATATATATGACGTTAATGTTTCTACAGTGAATGTAAATAAGTTATTTACATTTGCTCCCAAAACGACATCGTTTTAGGTCAAAAAATTAAAAAATTATAATAAAAAAGATTATTATAACCCTAAAATAAATTATAATTACAAAAATATGTTGATTTCTACCTTAAAACGACGTCGTTTTGGCTCAATGTAGATAAGTTATCTACATTGTCAGTAGAAAAAATGAACCATATATATATAGGGGTTTACATTTCTACGGCTGCTGTACGTGCAGCAATCAAATACTTGCCATATATATACTTGAAAGCATTAAATGTGGGGAATCATAACCATACACCTATCGTTGTTGTACGTAAAGCGGCTGCAGAAATGATTTTACTATATATATATATATGAGATAGGATCCTTTGACACCAGTGTTAATCTTTAAAATTTGACATCAAATCCTAATCGTTGATTCACGAAATCAACGATTAGGATTTGGTGTCAAACTTTTTAATTTGACACCGGTGTCAAAGGATCCTGCCTATATATATATATATATATATATATATATATATATATATATATATATATATATGGGTTTAGCGTATGTACAGTGATTGCACCTAAGGATTGGTGCAGTCAAATAAAACTACGTCGTTTTATAGTGTGAAAGCATTAAATATAGGGAATATATATATATTATGTTTTTTGGATATACATTGAATTAATGAATCTTTGTGGAATTATTAGTGCAGTTGATTGTATATTCTATTTGGATATACATTGAATTTATGAATTTTTGTGGAATTTTGTTGTCTTTTTTTTTTTAACAGGCTAAGACAGGCTTTTACTTTTTGTAAATGAACCAGGCCACAGGCCAATATGATATTCGTAACAGGTAACAGGCTAAGGTCAGTCTGACACGTTTAAATACAGACTTGGCTCGTTAAGATCAAAGCTCGGCCCGTTAACACCCCTAACTGCACCAACACTTATATGCAGTCACATTACAAATCATTTTGCATATATATATATATATATATATATATATATATATATATATATATATATATATATATATATATATGTTCACTTTTTCTACAGTCACTGTAGATAACTAATCTACATTGGGCCTAAAACGACGTCATTTTGAGGCAGAAATCAATGTATTTTTTGTAATTATAATTTGTTTCTGGTTATAATAGTCTTTTTAATTTAATTTTTTAATTTTTCAACCTAAAACGACGTTATTTTGAGAGCGAATGTAGATGACTTATCTTAGAAACATTAAAGTTTATATATATATATATATATATATATATATATATATATATATATATATATATATATATATATTGTAAAGATAAAACTTATGGTAAAAGTATATATACATTTGCCATAAGTTTTATAATTTTAAACTTATCATGTAATAATCTAGATATAATAAAGTATAATTAAATAAAATTCACTAATTACTCAAACTCGAGCAAATTTTATATTTTAAAAAAGGCAGTTGGATGTGTTCATAAATAATTTCACTTTTAGTCACCCAATGAAATTTAATTACATAATTAATCAATTTAATTAATTATTTATTTGATTAGTTAATTTATATTGACATATTTTTTGAAAGGGAAAAAAGTTTCCGATGTTACTTTGGATACTTTATCTAATGATCATCGAAACGACGTCGTTTTGGGGTTGAAAAATTTAAAAATTAGGGTGATAAAGACTATTATAACCCTGAAATAAATTAGAATTACAAAAATACCATGATTTCCGTCTCAAAACGACGTCGTTTTGATGAACATTAGATAAAGTTATCTAAAGTAACATCAGAAAAAACAAGCCCTTTTTGAAAACACTTATATTGACATTTTGTTTAACTATAAATAAGTTACTAATTAAATAATTTATCATATGATTAATTTTTTTATGTGACGTAAATATACTTTTATATAATAAATTAAATTTATTTTTGAAATAATTAATTTTCCTTCAAGAATGATATATGTTATTTTTAACTTCTTTTGTTTTAGATTCTTTTAAAATAAATATACATATATTTTTAATATTTTTAAATGTTTGACCTCTTTAATATATACTTCATAAAATTTAGTTGAATTGATTTTATATATTTATTTCGTAATTTTAAATATTTTTTA